TTCCTGCTCACAAGCCTCTGGACAGGCTGGCTAACCCTGACTCACCTGGCTGGACCCTGAGCCAGCCCCCCTGAATTCACAGTGATGCCTGTGACAGATTCTTTGCTGAGAAGAAGCCTCAAAACAAAGTAATTTCTCTGCATACACAACTGGCACCCTAAAGAGAAATCTCTGTCTTCCATTTTCAGTGGAGTTTAAAAGCACTCACCTATGGTAAAGAAAATCAAATTTCATGCTTCAAGGCTTAAGCTGATTGCATAGCAAGGCTTTGCTGTGTGCCAGGGACAATTCTTCCTCTTTCTGAAATGTTGTGGAGGCAGATGGATGTGTTATGGATCTCCTCTCAGCTCCCTCCAGAGCTGAGACTGCAATGAACCTATTTCACCATTATCACTCGGTTAGCATAACACAGAAAAAGACTTAAGAGCATCTATAAACATTCCCTTTGCTCCCCTAGCCAGGGAGCATCATCTAGTGCTTCACACAAGACTGGTTGTGTAATAAGGGAATAGCCACATGGCCAGGTCCAGCTTGGGAATCTGCAGTTGAAAGGAGCTGCTGAAGCTTCAGGGATCTCTGGGGAATACAGGAAAGCAGAGCCATGTATTCCTTACAATGAATACATACATTATTGCCATGATGAAGTAGTTTCAATTATTCCAAAATGTATTCCAGATGTATTCAGAATTTTTTTTTTAACCAAAATCTTCCATTCTAAGACAAACAGAATTGTTGAAAGGTGAGACCTTCCTGTCAAACAGAAGCTCTCTGTTGTGGCACTACAAATCATATTTAAAGCAATGACATGGAAATTATTTGTGTTTAAAAATCCCCCACTGTGAGAAGGAATCTTGAGTCAGGACACCTTAGTGAAACCAACAGTATTCATCCAGTGAGTAACTCGTGGTGCTTTCCTGGGACGTGCCTCGTGACAATCCTTGGTGCTTGAAAGCTAAAGAAGTACCTGTGATAGGACAAGGGGAAATGGCTTCAAACTGAGAGAGGACAGATTATAGATGGGATATTGGGAAAAAATTCTTCCCACTGAGGGTGGTGAGGCCCTGGCACAGGTGGCCCAGAGAAGCTGTGACTGCCCCATGCCTTGAAGTGTTAAAGGCCAGGTTGGACAGGGCTAGGAGCAACCTGGGATAGTGGGAGGTGTCCCTGCCCATGACAAGGAGGGTGAAACTGGATGAGCTTTATGGCCCCTTCCAACCCAAACCATTCAGTGATTTTATAACACTAAATCTTTCAAAGAGAGATTTCATAATGAGCAGTCATAAAAGACAATATACTTTTGGAAGTGCCCCTATATAACTGACAAAAGTTAAGAACAAGCTTAAAATAGATACAGTGTATTAACAGGCAAAAGCTATTTATTTTTAGTTAAATATTTTCTTAACCACAATGGAGAGATCCAAAGTTAGATCTGGAGTATTGTTTCCCCAGCACTTTTGGACATGACTGTGGCATGTCTATGCACAGATATTGCCTGCTTTTTTTATCAAATCCACTGCCTGGGCATTAAAAGAGAGATGCCAAGTCTGACAAATTTAATTCATAGGTGTGTTTTGGGCCAGCCAAACCACTGCAGTTGTTTGTGTAACACCATAGGCCAAAAGGGTATTGCACTGATAAACAGGTCCTGATCCCATGACAGTACAAATCACAATGAATTCATGGATTTGAGCTGGTTTACAACTGACAGAAAAGCATGAGGTTGGAATCTGGCACAGGGACCATGAAGGAATGAACAAACCACAGGAGCCAGATGTGATCTGTCCAGCACATGTGCAGGGCTAAGGACCACACTGCAAGGCTGACCCTGTGCTGGCTGCAGGCTTCTTGTGCCTGCTTAAGTGGGGGGCTTGGCAGGGTGAGGCTGTTCATGACTAATTACATGCTGTGATGGAAAACACGACCCCCTTTGCTGCTCAGCAGAGAAATCAAAGTCAAGAACTTCTATGTACCAGAAAGTCAACTCTGCTTTGTCTGCCTTGGAAAACACCCTCTCTGAAAACATCTTCATCACCCCCATCACTGCAATCACTGAGGAATGGGAGCTGAAGGACTTTTTCAAGTCACTCTTCCTTCATTTTTACACATTTTCAGAGCCATTTCACATTCCTGCTGGTCACACTGCTGCAGGACAAGTGTGGCAGGTCCCCTGCCATGTGTTTCCTTGACATGCCAAGTGACACAACCTAAGTCCACAGGACAGATTAAGTTTATCTCTAATTAAATTGCTCAGTGAGTAGGCTTTAATGGGATGAAGCAGCCAGGAAGTATCAGAGGTTTTGCTGGAGAGATGTCCTAGTCTAGCACTACACAAACACAAGTGACTTGGTTCTGTTTAAAAGCATGCAAACACCATTCCTTCCCACTGGTGTCAATGCCCCAGCCTTACTGTGGCAAAATTTCATCAAAACACCCATTTTCAACTCTTGGAACCTTTAAAACAAAATTATTACTTTCAGTATACATTTACACTTATTAGAGACAAAAATGAATTCTGGAAAAGTGAGCACTGAAAGTAGCAAAGAGTTTCAAGTGCATTCAATGCTGGAAATGGAGCTTCACTTTTGGAATATCCTATATCAGTGTGGAAACTCATGAACTGTTCATCATTGTGTAATGAAATTTTCAGATCTTAAATCTTCAGAAAGATAGTGAACTCAATTTTTTGAAGAGATGGATTTGAGTTTGCTTTTCCCATTGCTCTTTTCAAATCATAATTCATTAATTTTGCCTTGCAAGACTGACATTAATTAAACAAGTATTAAATCAGAAATACCCATGGAGGATTTAAAATAATAGATCAGGGGGACACAGACCATGCCTGGTAGAGGGCAAGAAAATGAGTATATAGGTCTTGAAAAAAAAATCTTTCTTCAATTTGTATGTTAATGTTAACCTACAAAATAATTCTGTTAAAAGTTGTAAGCTGAGAAGAAAGCCATGAAGGGGCTGGAAAAACACAGAATCCAAACCAACTCTGACTGTGAACCAAGAGTGCTCTGTAGTGCCCTGGCTCTTTCACTTTTGTTTCTATTCTTTTTGAAAGGAAACTCCCTCCAATGGGATAGAACCTCCCTGAACAACTGCTCCACAAAAACTCCCTTCAGCAGGCAGAAGTCTTCATCCAAGTTAGCTTGCCACTTTTTAACTGACTCTTCACATGACTCTCTCAGATGAAATTTTGTTCTTAGGAATTTATGAACCGTGATAAACAAAGCAGAAGGAGTCCAAAGTGTCATATTGACTTTTCTGAGAAGTCATAGGAGGGGACCATGAGCTCACTTTTGAGAAGATGCTAATCTTCTCCATCTGACATTTGTGTTGGAATTACACAGATCTGAACTCTTTTGGCACAGAGATTGAATGTCTCAAGGAGCCCAACAAACTCTCTGCAGCCACAGAGGGATTCTTCTGCTATATTACGAAGGAAGTAAAAAACCAATTAATTTTCCTCTAAATGCTTGAATACAATGCAGTTACGCCTTCTAAAGATGACCTCAATAGGCAGGGGAGATTAAGAGAACTTGATTTTAATTTTCCCCTGTAATTATACTGAGAACTCCCACCTGCATGCTGGCATTCAGGTTGCAGATGTTGAGCAGGAGCCAAAATTTCATCTCATCCAGCAGCCAACAACAGGGAAGTGACCTGACTCAAATGTCTGCACTTGGATTTGAAATCCCAGTTTTCTGTGGTTGCAGACAGCAGAGCTGCTACCTCTGCTGATTTAAAAGAGTCAGCAGATAATTATGGATCTGCTTATAACCCTGTCTGTGTGAGGGGAAGGTGTCAGAACCCCAGGGAAAGTTAATATACACACCCTAAAGCATAGACATGCCTTTGGAAAACTTCTGTCTGGGCAGAACAGTTTGAAGAAAAGCTTGCAAGAAGGAGCTTAGAGGTTTGAAAACCAACCAACCAACCAGAGTGCCATCATATAAAGAAAGCTCAGAAGGTACCTGATGCCCATGTGGTGTGGCAATAATCGTGTCATGACCAGGGTGCAGAAGCACTGGTAGCACTGGGAAGGAGCTCCTGGCAATGGTTATTGGCTTACAACCACTTTTTTGTGATGTACCAGCAATGCAGGAGAAGCTGCAGAGGATAGGACAGCTCAGGAAGGACATAGACCTGCTGGGGTGAATCCAGATGATGCTTGGAGGGCTGCAGCACCTCTCCTGTGAAGAAAAGCAGAGTAAATTTGGTTTGTTCAGCTAAAGAAACTCCAGAGAGGCCTCAATGCAGCCTTTCAGTACTTGAAGGGGGCTTATAAAAAATAGGGGAACAGGATTTTTAGCAGGACTTGTTTCAAAAGAACAAGGCGTAATGGTTTTAAACAGAGCCGATTCAGATTAGGTATAAGAAAGAAGTTATTTACAGTGGAAACATTTTTACACTTAGGTGGTGAAAAACTGGCACAGGTTTCTCGGAGAAGCTGTGGACACTCCATCTCTGGAGGTGCCCAAGGCCAGGTTGGATCTGGGATAGTGGAAGGTGTCCCTGCCCATGGCAGGGGTTTGGACGAGCCGAGCTTTAAGATCCCTTCCAACCCAAACCAATCTGCGATTCTAAGATTCAATCACAAAACTTGAACTCAGGAAACTCCGCGCCTCTCTGCGCACATAACCAGAGCCTTAATGTCTTTAAAAACCAGCCTCCACCGTTCTCTGGGGGCAAACTCTCAGGGGGTTTGCTGGGAGATGCTCCAGCAGCGCTGAGCAGTGACCGCACATCGTAGCAATGATCCCGCACTTCGGGGAGGAGGAGAAAGCTGCGGCAGCCGGGAGAAAAACCCGGGAAAGCAGGGCAGTAAAGCCGGGAGAGGAGGGCTGGAACAGAGAGGGAAGGTTGGAACAGAGAGGAGGGAAGGCTGGAATAGAGAAAAGAGGGCGGGCCCGGCTCCCGGCGCCCCGCCCGCTCCATGCCCCGGTAGGCCGGGCTGAGCCGGGGGTGCACTGGCCGGGGGCTGAGTTCGCGGCGGGACAGCGGCCGTGAGCCCCGGGGTCCCCGGAGCTCCAGCCCGGCCCTGCGGCCCCAGCCAGCCCCACCATGCTGCCGGCGGGCGGCCCCAGCCCCGCGCAGACCTGCGGGGCCGTGCTGGTGGCCGCCGTGCTCCTGCAGTCCGTGTGCGTGGCCGTCACCTTCCTCTACTTCACCAGCGAGCTCCGACAGGTCTGTGGCGGGGCCTGGCGGCGGGGGGGACCCCGCGCTCCCGCTGTGTCCCCGGGACGGGCCGGCGCTGTGGGCGGGGGGTGCGAGCAGCTCCCCGGGCCGGGCCAGGCCGGGCCCCGCGGACAAAGAGCTCCGCTGCCCTTTGTCTGCAGCACCGCCGGGAAAGAGCTCAGAGCCGGGGCAGCTGCGGACTGACAGGCTCGGGAAAACAAATCTCTGCGCCTCTGCAGGAAATGTGTTTCCCATTAGAGCGCAAATTCGCCGTCTCATCACTTTTGCGGTGCGGGAGGGCTGGGTGGAACAGGCGCTGTCATCTGGACGGGCCAGGCACCGCCGAGGGGCACTGGGGAGAGCTCGAGTGTTTTCTCTAGGACAATACAATAGTGGTTTTAAGACTGTGACTAATCCTAAAGGAACTGCACCAGACGCTGAACACCGCTGAATCCCCCAGAATACCTTGTAAAATACTCATTGTATAGTCTAGATGCTTTGGTCTCCGTGCAGCCACCCTTGAGGCCTGCCAGCTGCTGCTTAACTCTTCCCTCTTCTTGCAAAAGAATATTTACACTCCAAGAAAGTTGAATTTAATTTGTAGTCCCGTGTGTGTGGCCCTGCTTTTCAAGGACCCTTTACTCAGGGTTTCCATGTGTGTCTTACCCCTAGTTGACTGTCCTGCTGTAAGTTTTTATTCCTGGCACACATGTAAACCTACCTGTGGGTAAGTGTTCTGTACATCTGCAGCTTCAGAAAGTATTGCATAAGTGAATATTACTATTATATATATGCACTCGGTAATGCATAGTTAATTACATCATTAATAATAATGTAGAGAAGCATATTATACTAGATATGTGTTTATTCCACAATAGATTTAATAGGTGGTGTCTTCTGAGATGTCAGAGTTCTCCGTGAGGCAAAGGGTGTGCAGTGTTCTGCAACAGGAGCCAATGCTCATACTTTCAAAACATATAAAACAGATTTTCCTGCTGAATCTATAGCTGTGGCTGTCCAGTGGGGGAGTCACAGAAATGTGCTGACTTTATGAAATCAGATTACGTGATTGCTAATGAAGAAAATGAAGAAAAATATATAAAAGTATCTTCATTTCCTCAGCACCCAGTTCAGAGTCCCTTGCTAACAAATGTGCCAATCAAAGTAATTAGTAACCACACTTATCTTTTCCTTCTTTCTATTCAAATATGTACACCTGGGACACAATGACATCACAGGGACTTGCCCAAAATAACAGCTCACAGTTTCTGAAGAATAACAAGCCTGCATTTGTTGTGAAGGGATAAATCTATCCAAACTGAATTGTGCTGGGCTGCCAACAAAGGTTGCTGGCTCTGGAGGGGGTACCTTAACCACATATTCCTGCATGTGCCATTTGGTGCACAATAAACAGGAAAAACCTCATCTAGACACAGCCTGCTACCCTACATCCACATGGTGCATCTGGAATAAATCTCCATAGATAAACTATGATTTTTGTCTGTACATTTTTCTTCCCTTTTTTTGTTCACAATACCTGCATTTCTGCACCTTCACCAAATTACTGGGGCTGCACAGACTGCAGGGATTTCTGTCTTTACAGAAAGCATGCTGCAGCTGTAGTAACCTGACTAGGAGAATGACATTTGTGTAACTGTTTTGCTTTAAGAGGAAGTACTGAGACAATAAAGTTCTTAATGCTGCAGGATACAGGGCTGCAAGGAAAACAACCTCGGGCTTCCTTCTGTTTCAAAAACAGTCCAGTAACCACTCCTAACATAGCAGAGAGGCTCTACAGGATGAGATTCCTGCACGAGCTGTGTCCTCAAAGGGTTCAATGCTGCAGATAAACCTCATTTGAGTAAATCTTACAAGAGGAATTCCAATTCCTCAGTTCCATAATGTGCTGCAGCAAGGTTGCATTCCCTGAGGATTTCAGACTACATACAAAGTAAGGTTCCAGTGCCAGGAGAGTAAAGCAGTTTTGGGGAGAAGTGAGCAGGTAAGGTGGAGGCAGAGGCTCAGGACTGTTTGCTTCCAGATGGGAGGGCAAAGGTGGGAACTGAGCTGTGGCAGGTCTGCAAGACAATAAACAATAACCTCACAACTTGCCTATGTTTGGCTTCTTTTCTTAAACTCGTCCAACTACTTTTTTTATAGAAGCTCACTGTGTAGTTAAATCAGTCAGAGCCTGCAGTTTTACCTCAATGAGCACATAATATTAATCACTTGGAGTTCTTGAAACCTGATTTAAAAATACCACTGTACTCCTTGGCAAAGACACCTCACAAACTTGGCAAAGAAACCCTCACAAACACTCGCAGTGGGGGCCCCTTTTCCTTCTGCTGCCTACAGAATATATAATTCAAGTACTTGCTGAAGCTCAGTGGAATCTGCTGCTGCAAATGGAAGATGGGACTTGAAGGAGGTGAAATCTCTTTCTAAATGCCTTTGTTCTCTAAAAGCCAGGAAAATCATGGAGTGGGAAGGAGGAAATCCATTTGTTGCTTTTAATACCCCAGTCTCAAGGACAGCTAAAAACTGGTACTTGTAGAAAAAAATGGATCTGTTTAGCAAACCAAACCAAGCTTCTTTAACACAACAAAAAACTGAAATTTAAATCCTACTACCAGGATTCCATCTGAATGCTTTGCATGTTTCTTGCTGTTACCTCCAAGTTCCCGTAGTGCTTTGCTGGCTCCCTGAGCCCCACCAGTCTGTAGCTGATGCAGCAGGAGCCCAGTTCAAAGCAAACAAGGGCTGCTCTCAGGTTCTGTGCTCCACAGTAAGCAACAGCGCCAGCTGGAGTCACATCCACAGGGAGCTCGGAGAGAGCTTTCCACTAGGAAAACTCTCCCAGTCAGATTCCCTTTGAGCCAAAAGGAGTTTTGCCAATCTCTTCAATCTTAGCAGAAAAACGTTTTCTCCACGACTAGAGGATACAGATAGATATTTGATATTTTCATGTCAAAACAATCTAGCATTATAATTTTATTTGGACTCAAATGTCATTTCAGTTGTCTGGACTATTAGGACAAATGCTGTTAGGAGAGATCCCAGACTGGATATGGGGAGGATATGGTACAGATATATATAACAGCAAAGGTCTTGATTATAAATGCAATTGTTCAGAAAAGACAGCGTAGAAAATACTTTTGAGTTCTAATATTTGATTTAATCCTCAATAATTCGTTTAAAAAACAATCTTGTGCAAAATAAATGTTTCTAATGCAAAACTAGAGAATCTAAAGAATTTCCAACATCAGGGATTTGGGTACTGAATTTTCACAAAACCTATTAAGCTGAATAGTGGATACCAAATTTATGTCCATAGAGATAATGCAAGCATATTTTTGCATGTGAGGTATGCCCTCATATTTAAATATGTCAGACCAGGATGAATTAAATCCTCTTGTTGTTCATATAGCCCTACTTGCACCATGCTAGCAAATGCTTTACAGAAAACACAGTGTGTTTCTTAGCACTCAGTTAATACAGTGACAGACCACAGCTGCAAACACATGGATGAAAAATCCTGGCTTTTCCCTCTGCTGCAGCTCCAGGACTCGTACTCCAAGAGCGGCATCGCTTGTCTCACCGGGGAGGAGATCGGAAATTCCATCCAAAACTTGGATCTCATCGAAAGCGAAGACAGAGAAGCTGATCCCTGCTGGCAAGTGAAGTGGCACCTGGGAAAGTTAATTAAAAAGGTATTTGGGAACAGTGTGCTTTGTGATGTTACAGCTGAAGGAATCCTAATAGCAGAATAAAGGAGGCTCAGATTGTTTTATTGCAAAACAATTGTCAGGCCACAGCTCCAGCTGCAGAGTGCTTGCACTGAAGCAAAAGAAAAAACAACCCATAAAACTGGATTCCCTGCATTCAGGAGATAATAAAGCAAAGACTATCAGCTTTTACTAAGCAAATTCCAGTAATGGGTCAGCTTGTCTGAAATACCTCAGGGTAAAGGGTTTCTACCTGGTGATACAGATCATGGTGCTATCAGAGCTGTCACTGCCTCTGGAGATACAGGGAGACTGGGGAGAGAAAATGAGATCACATGTAACAAAGGGAGAGGTATAAAGGTGCCTAAGGAGTGGTCCAGTCATGAGCTGTGTAATGCAGTGATGGAGGAAAGAGCAAGTGAGCACACAGCATCAGGCACAGCAGCTTCCCAAAGAGCCCCTTCTGCGTGACTTACGCACAATAACACAAAATCCAAATAATTTTGGCTGCAGAGAACAAAGTCAGTCTGGCTGAAAAATCACAGAGGCTAAAATCTTCTGCAATGGCTTTCAAAATCCCATCTCTATCACATAAACAAGCTCATCCATAGAAATTCTCTTCTGGCTGAAATTTCCTGGCAAAAACAGATATTGCAGTCCAAAACAGATTCTCTATCCGTATTGAGATCTGTGCTCCTTTGGAGAAGCTCTGCCAGTGAAGTCCCTGAACTTCTGCACAGAGAAAGCATTGTTCTAGTTGGTGGATGTTTACACATCTGATATACCTACTAGCTCCCTGATTGCTTAGAAAAAGGTAGCCTGGGTGCCAGAAATCAGTTACAATTATGATAATACTATTATTGCTATTAGGATAGATGGATAAATAGAAATGTGGCAGGACAAAACCCATCAATAATTGGCAATACAGGCCTTATTAGCCACCCAGGTAAATCATTACCACACTTGCTGCTGCTGCACCACTGTCCATACCAAACTGGTTTGTTTCAGCAGTCAGCAAACAGTTACGAAGAAGGGGAATGCACAAAGTGAAATATGCTGGATTAAGAGCTTAGAAGGATAGGTATTTATACAAATTAATTAATTAGGTGTTTATACAAATAAATTTATTTTAGTTTCTCAGATCTAAGACCCTGTAGTTCACACTGCCAAGTACTCTGCAAATGGAAGCTAGTGATTGGACACTTCTCTTATTTGAGAGAAGCATGAGGTTCAGATTTTTCAGTAGATTTTTGCTTGAGCTCTTGAAAATGTTTTCCATGTCTTTCATTACCTAAAAGATGTAAACATAGAAATTCTTCATTACAACAAACTAATAGGTGCTTTTTTTTTTCTCTTTGCTTGTTGATCAAATCCTGAATCCTCTTTATTCATGAGTAAAGAAAAGGTGTGTCTTTTTCCTGCACCTGTCAGCCCCAGATGACAAGCTAATTCATTTTCACTGTGTTTGTTGGCAGATGATGTCAAGAAGCTACGAGGAAAACATATCTGCAATCAACGGTATTGTAAAAATTTTATTATCTGTGGTAAAAAGGAGCTGCTAGTGGCATTTGATGTGTAATGACTTGATGTTTTAAAAGTGCAGAAAACTGGCTAAGATCTTGTACTGGCATCAAGTCATCACAAAATGATTACTTATTACACAAAATGATTACTTATTACTAGAAGGCAAATTTTCAGGAGCCAGAATTACTGTGAAGTGGTTAGAACAAGGTAACCAAGGTGGATGCAGAGGACGCAGCTCTAGATTTCAGTCCCATGTGTTTTGGGGGATGTTGAAAAAGCCCTCCCAGTACCCCAGCTCCTGGAACATGCAGCACAGAGCTGCAGAGATCAGTTAAGGAACAGCTCTGCTGAAGCTCACACTAAAGATGCATTACAACCTCCAAGTGGAAATTCACAGGGAGGTTAGGAATATTTAACCATAAAATTGAGTATTATGGGTTATTTTTTCTGTTGATAACTTGAATGCAGAGGGAGAAGAAAAAGGAGAGCAAAGAGGCACAAAAAGACATTTCCTGAGCAAGAGTAAAAGCAGAATTTGAGCCTTATTAGCCAATAATTAGCCATTCAGTCAATTAAAAAGTAACATACCTATTCCTTAAAATCAAGTCAGATGGAACAGATGTGCTTTCTAAAGTCATTGCTTCTGATGTGGGGTTTCCTTTTCCTTTCAGTTGAAAGGACTCTGACACTGCCCCACTCGGAGGGGCAGCAGCCGCGCAGTCCCAGCCGCAGGATCGCGGCGCACCTGACGGGCAGCAGCAGCAGGAGGAGTGCCCTGTCCTCACGCAGTAAGGAGAAACCTTTAACAACAGTTAAACACCACAGAACTCATTCAATTACTCTCCCATTGCTAGCCTCGTGGTTACAAACACCTTTTAATGCTTGTATTGAGTGAGTAGTAGGAAACAAATCGTCTTGTCTCAGACACTGGGTTTTTTCTGCTATTTCTCACCAAACAGAAAGCCCATTTCTTCTGGATACCTCCCAAACTCTTCTTTTGGAACCTTTATTAGGGGGTAAAAGAAATTTAAATGTCCTTCCTAGTGTTAAGTTTTCTTCTTTTCTTTCATTTCCTTCTGTCAGTTGAGCAAGTCCCAGCTGCTATGGTGACAGACCTATTAGAAATGTGAGACAGACAGGAGAGACTTGACATTCAGACCATGCTAATAAGGGGCTTGCTTGGCTTTCTGCAGCTTCAGAGGGTATCAGACACTAATGGATATTTTAACTTTGTTACTAAGTAAAAACAATTTTTTCCCGTTTTTTGGGAGCACAGATATTAAAAAATAAAGGCAGTTCATGTTAATTCCCACATAAAGCTTACTTATGGACCATCAAATTGTTGTGAGAGTGGACCTAATGAACTGCTGGGAAGAGCAGGTTTCCTTACTTTGTTATTAAAAACCAAGCTCCTCAGCTAACAGACACATGGCTTCACTACCCGTTTTTTACTTAACATTTCTCTTTTTTTTTCCCTTCAAGTAAATCCCTTGCCCAGAAGAGGAATTGGACACAAAATAAACAACTGGGAATCATCAAGAAAAGGCCACTCCTTCCTTTACAACGTGGAGCTGAGAAATGGCGAGTTAGTGATACCCCAGACAGGCTTTTATTACATCTACTCACAAATTTACTTTCGCTTCCGTGAAAACGAGAACGAGGACTCAGATTTGTTGGGACAAATCAGAAACCCCAAACAGCTTGTCCAGTATGTTTACAAACTGACTAATTACCCTGAGCCCATTTTGCTCATGAAAAGTGCAAGGACAAGCTGCTGGTCTAAAAAGGCAGAATATGGACTTTATTCCATCTATCAAGGTGGTGTGTTTCAGCTGAAGAGAGAGGACAGGATTTTTGTCTCGGTCAGCAACAGTGACATAGTTGACATGGACAAAGAAGCAAGTTTTTTTGGAGCCTTTATGATCGGTTAAAACATGAAAATCATGATCCCAAACAGCCCAGCTTTTCTAGTCAGGGACAGCTTAAATTCCTATAAAATAGGGGGTAACAAGCAAAAGCTGTATTGATACCAACAAGAGCAGCCTGCCCTTTCTCAGCTCACTCACCACATGCCGAGTTCTGTCCCAGCAGGCAGGAAGAGCAGCAGCAGCTGGCTGTGGGTGGCAATGCTCTGTGCAGGCACAGGCAGCCAGGCTGGCAGTGTGTGAGGGATTCACAGCCCCCAGGTGATACCTTTGGCCAGAACCCCGGGCAGGTAAGCGCTCTCCAGCAGCAGAGATGCTCCAGGCTGGCTCAGCTGTGGCACAAGAGATGGCAGATTCTCCAGGTCTGGTTACTCATGGCTGAGACTGGATATCAAATTTTATTTGTGGTCTCCATTGGGACCCTGTCTTGAATATGTCAGCTCCTGTAAGGAGCCTTTGTACATACTGTGCCCAAGTGCCTGTAGAATTTCTCCAGAAGTTTTTTGAACAGGAGTTTTGCAGAAGCTGCACGCCTTCATCTCGTCTAACAAAGCACTTAAGCACCTAATTAATTTTAAGCACACAAACAGTCCGACTACATCAGGGTATCCATATGCTTGAAATTAAGTATGTGCTTAAGCATTCTCCAGGACTGTGTCTTGAGTAAAAACATTTGTCTTGTGCTGGATATTGTACATAAGAGCAGCTGCTGGAATGGCACTGAAGAGCTTTTGAAATCAATCTGTGTTTTGATCAACATTTTGTAGCAGTGCCTATTTACTTAATTACTGTGCTGCAGACATCTCACAGGGCTCCCAATAAGTTCAGTAATACAGTTACTGTTACACTTGTTGACAGCAAGAACTGGATCCAGAAAAAAAAAAGTGGGTTATTGTAAATAATGAGTTCTGTGAGAAATTTGCAGCAAGTTAGGCATGACAAGATTCCTCCATGTTTATTTGTCCTGGTCTCTGGTAGGATGTAATGTAGAATAACACACCCCAATGACTAACAATTTAAGGAAAACAAACACAGTTATGTGTTCTTACAAAAATGCTGCTTATTTAGGTAATGCTGTAATTATTTGATTTTATTTTTAGGAATGGGTGGAAAAATTTCACAATTCTTTTTGTACAATACATTTTTTTAAAAAAAATTAACAGTATATTTTTTAACTCAATGAAAATGACTATTTTGTATTAAAAGGATTTTAACGTTTAGACTGTATGGGCTCAATGCACAGCAAAAGTCAAGCAGTGTAAATCAGCACATCTGTAGCATTGTCAGTGGAGGAATAGCAAATTGCACCATGAATGCATTTTGCCCAGATTCAGAGGAGACAGTGGGAAAGGTGAAAAATAAAATTACTGGAGGGAAATGAAGACAGTTCTGCAAATGTCACTTTACATCAACAGAGTGATGGCAGGATAAAAGTCTGGCTATTTTTTGAACACACTGGGGTTGCCGTGGGAACCCTCCCATTCACCTGCATGTGGTAATTAAATCACAGCAGCCCCTGCACATGGGCCTCACCAGTAAACAGGCACAGCTCATCTTCCTGCCCAGCCAACAACAGGGGATTAACACACACCAGCCCCTGTCTTCAGCTGCCATGCAGACAAGCAGGTGCATTGGCTCACTTAAATACCTGTGTTGGAGCAGCAAGAGCAGAATTTCAGATTTTCAGGAATACCCTCCTTTTGGCAGGTTAGGGCAAAGAAACACACCAGTGTAAGCTGAAAATAATGAGTTTTAACTTCTGCCTGCTGTTTAACAGTGTCACACACGCTGTTTTCAGTGGCAATCAAATGTGAGATAATTCTTCACCATTTACTGGAACACTTGGGTTTGCCTCCTTCTCAAATCATCTGTTTTGACAGATAACAGAAAACATTTCTACAGTTTTCTTTCTGATTTCAGTATTTAATTCAGAAATTTTCTCCCTGCCAGAAAGGCTGAAGAACAAAGTCATTCCCTACATACCTGTATGTCTTTTACCTTGGAGAAATGACTTTTGTAGGCTCTCCTTGCAGATGGACTGGGCTTGGTGATTTCAGCACAGGACTCACCCCTGCTATCAGATTTGGTCTCTGCATGCAGAGCATATTGCAACAGGAATCATACCAAATAATTTTCTGAGTGATCTGAAGACGTGTTTGCCAGATCTTATCTTGGGGGAAGATTATCAAGGGATATCAGACAGGACACCTTTGAAGAAAAATGGAAAAATATAGCAAGTTCTGTTTGTGCTGTGTCCTAACTCATTCTTTTCATCTCACTTTGTGCTGAATGACATATGTAGCAAATTTTTATAGGTTGCATTAACGTGTGAATATTGTAAATTTTTCTACATGCGTTTTATATAAAACATTTTTACTAAATAGTTACTTAGTCTCACAGTGATTATTGGTGTCATCCCATAGCTTCCATAACAATCCTGTCTTAAATAATTTCCCTGACATTTATTGGTATCAGATAAAATCCACTAAATGCCAGAAATGGTTGCAATGCAAAGGACAAAATGTAAAACATTGAGCAATGCCATATTGTGTAATTCCGTGTAACTGGTTTCCAGATCCCAGCTGGTGAACAGCATCTGGAAGCAGTAGGCTGAAGAAATCCCTGAAAATGATCTTGTGAACAGAGGACAAAATTCTGAGCATTTCCCTTGAGGTACTTCGCATGTTTCTGGGCTTTAGCAATTATTTAAGCACTGGGAATTCTTAGTAGCAAAACATCTGATCTTTACCCATTACCAAACTGCAGTAGAAAATGTTCAGCCTGGAGAAGAGAAGGCTCTGGGAGACCTTAGAGCATCTTCCAGGACCTAAAGAGGTTCCAAGAGAGCTGGAAAGGGACTTTTCACAAGGGCACAGAATGACAGGGCAAAGGGGAATGGACTCACACTGCCAGAGGGCAAGGTTAGATGGGATATTGGGAAGAAATCCTTCCCTGTGAGGGTGTGAGGCCTTGGCACAGGGTGCCCAGAGAAGCTGTGGCTGCCCCTGAATCCCTGGCAGTGTCCAAGGCCAGGCTGGAGGGCAGCTGGGCTGGTGGAAAGTGTCCCTGCCCATGGCAGGGGTGGAACTGCTGCAGCATTGGATCGTGTTCCCTCAAGCTGGGGAGTGAGTCTGAGGAACAGGGACACCATGCCCAGCTGTGACACAGTGACCCAGTGAGTGAAACACAGCCAAAAGCTGAGACTAAACCTCAGAATTAGTGACTGCAGAGCACAGCTTTGCTGATTAATAAACTAGCAGCATTTTGAAGTCTGCTTGCAGATATTGCTGCCATATAAACAACAAAAGCAATTTGAGCTCATTCTGTGTTTTACTTTATTAAGCTGGATTACTGCTATTCCATCAGCACTCCTCAGTGATGAGAGTTGCTAAACCATAACCTTTGAAAGCATGCACCAAGTGCTACCTTCTGCTCTAAACCACATTTATAACAGCAGTCAAAACACCTTCTGTCACCTGATATAATAAAAAACCCTGAATTTGCTTTTCTCTGAGTTTTGGAGGTGCGTAATTTTAAAATTAATCTCTACCTTGAAGTCTGATTTCCAGTTTCTTCTCTCCACAATAAACACATAATGACTGTAGATTCAAAGCCTTCAGATATTTCCATGACAACAAACACTGATATAAACAAGAGTTAGAACTTTACTGGATGAGAAGAAAATTGAAAGAATGGAACACAGGAGAGAGATCTCAAAACTCCACAAATAGAAACTCTTCTACCTCATCTCCAGTGCTCAACACAGTTTTGAAACAAATGAAGAGAATAATTTAAGAGTTCCATGGAAAGTAAATGTCCAGCATACTGTGTTTGTTAAATTATCTTTTTAATACCTGGTTTGCTCATACATCCAGCTAGTGGATGAATAGGATAAAAAGTACTTAACTTCAGCCCTCCTCTCATTGCAGTAAGAACAACAACTTCACTCTTGTCTTGCTGGCAACATGAAACAAATGTTCTTGTAGCTGAGGGCTAGCAGATAACTTCTGGGAGCCTAAAGCCATCTTCTCTCACAGTTCTTACCTCTTCTATCACCACTATCTGCACCACCATCCTTTAGCATATGCAAAGCCAAAGCAGGAATCCTTATTGTGCAGTGTTTGTGGGATGAGAAATCTTTATATTCCATCCAAATTTGGCCTGCAATTGCCAAAGAAATTGAAAACTAAAACTGATTTATTTTTTTTTTCTCTCAAACATTTTTTCTGGCCCTGACCCAGCCCCATGTAGCAGCCAGAGGAGCCCTTGACTCATGATACCCTTTTAAGAAGGAGATCAATATTGCTGGATTTGAAGTACAACTGCCAGTTCTGATCCAATTGGCTCACAACACATCAAAGGAATTCAGGGTTAAATCATTGTATTGCAAACTCTGGAGTGTACAGATCTGGTGCTCACTCACTGTTGGGTACTTGATTTTGGTATACACACCACAATTCATTTATTATTCTAGAAAAGAATAAATTATCTCCTGGGGAAAAAAACCCCAAAACAACACTCTTCTCTCCCTGGGGAAAGAGAAATACTTTGTTGTATTTTGTGTGTCAACTGTGTTGACAACACAGTTCAGCAAAAACTGAAAGAATTTAATGAAGGATCCTCTCTGTGTAGAAAGTCACGTTTAGAGCTTTGGGCCATTTTCCCTGGTAAAAAGCTCTGGTCAGCTAACACCACTGGTCTGAGAATGTCTTAGGGAAAAGAAATCTAAAAAAGGAGTGAGATAATTCCTTATAATAATGCAAAGTATTTGGCAGCCTGACCACAGAAGCAGTTGCCATCTCCTCCATAATATAAAGCAATGTCATGTGAATCAGACTGGGGACACAATGCTAATATGAAATAACTATCTTAGTGGCATAAAGCCCATGATTTTTATTCAGAAACATATAACACAACTATACAGGCAGCTGGGCAGACAAAGTGAGAAGTACATTAGACTCTTCCTTGTTTTCAACTGCAATAATGTGCAGCCATCCCTCATAAAATTTAGCAACTGTTGAGTAACTTGCTGCAAAACTGTCTCACAGTTCACGAGCAGGAATGAGAATACTGATTCCAGTGAAACTACGAAAAATATATCATCCAAATTAGGATATAGGCAAGGCACTAAGGCTAATGCTTGCATGATTACAGAAGGCACAAATTACAGAAAACAGGCACATTCAGAGGCACAGGCAGAGTAATTGCATTGTGTCACATCATGCTTCTGTTCTATCTACCCTCCAGTGAAGCCCTGCAGCCGTGAAATGGGAATGCCAGTGCTGGAGTGCACCCAGGGGAGCAGCATAAACCTGCTTCCCTGCTCAGCTGATGGAGCTTGGAGCAGCCTGGGCTAGTGGAAGGTGTCCTACGGCAGGGGGTAGGAATGGCATGAGCTTTAAAATCCCTTCCTACCCAAACCATTCCACGATTCTGTGGTTAAGGTAGATGCCAACGTGCATTCAGAGCACTGGTTGCCCCCTGAGAGATAGGACACAAGAGATCCAGCCCCTCTAGATAGGAGTGAAAAAAGGTTGTGCTGCAGCACACATGCCCTCACAATTTGTGGGGACAAGCTGGAAAGGTGGAGAGAGACACCCTATACAGATGTGTGGGAAGTTACTTTACTGTCTCTGATCTCACCTTGTTCTGCTCACCTCTTATTTCTTGGGTACATTATCCTTCCGTACAATAGGAGTCTGCAGCTGTTCTGTCTGTGCCTGCAAAGGGCAGAGCAGAGGACAGCACTAACACGCTGAATCGAAATTTAATTGCAGGTAAATCATGTAGAAGCGGGTGACTGCCGCAGCTTCACCGAACTGGAGCCTGGCCGGGCTCCTGCCAAGATCCAAGGGCAGAGCAAAGATACGGAGAGAGGAGGCAGCGATCGCACCCACGGCTGCGGGACCGGCCGCGTGTGCTGAGCGCCGCGGGGCGATGTGTGCGGGGACAGAGCGCTGACAGCACCTGGGGACAGCACGGACAGGCGGCACAGGGGCCGGGGACGGCCCCGGGGCTGGGAACACGGACAGCCGGCACCGCACCTGCCCAGGCGGGCGGGCGGAGGGGCAGGGAGCGGGGGCGGACCCGGCAGGGGCTGGGTCGTGCTGCCGGGGGCTCGGGAAGAAAGTTTTGCGGCTCGGGGGGCGGCCCGCGAGGGTCGCGGCGGGGCCGCTCCGTGCCCACGTCTCCTGTGACGCGGCAGCGCCCGCCCGCCCGGGCCGGGGGGAGCGCGGAGAGGCGGAGCGGGGCCGCCCGTCCCTGCCCGTCCCTGCCCGCCCGGCCCCGCACCTGCCCGGGCGCGCAGCGGGGACCGCGCGGGGCCGCGCCGGGCGGGGATGCGCAGCCCGCGGCGCCAGGATGCGGGAGGGGAGCGCGGGCGGCCGCGGCGCGGAGAACCGGACGGGCGCCGAGCCCCCGCTGCACCTGTTCCCCGTGCCCGTGCTCACCGGCATCACCGTAGCCTGCGTCCTGCTCTTCGTCATCGGGATCATCGGCAACCTCATGACCATGCTGGTGGTGTCGCGGTTCCGGGACATGAGGACCACCACCAACTTCTACCTGTCCAGCATGGCCTTCTCCGACCTGCTCATCTTCCTCTGCATGCCCCTGGACCTCTTCCGCCTCTGGCAGTACCGGCCCTGGAACTTCGGGGACCTCCTCTGCAAGCTCTTCCAGTTCATCAGTGAGAGCTGCACCTACTCCACCATCCTCAACATCACGGCGCTCAGCGTGGAGCGGTACGTCGCCATCTGCTTCCCGCTGCGAGCTAAAGTCATCATCACCAAGTGGAAGGTCAAGCTGGTCATCCTCTTCCTCTGGGCCATCTCCTTCATCAGCGCCGGCCCCATCTTCATCCTGGTGGGAGTCGAGCACGAGAACGGCACGAACCCCCTGAGCACCAACGAGTGCCGAGCCACAGAGTACGCCATCCGCTCGGGGCTGCTCACCATCATGGTCTGGACCTCCAGCATCTTCTTCTTCCTGCCCGTGTTTTGCCTGACCGTGCTGTACAGCCTCATTGGGAGGAAGCTCTGGAGGAGGAAGAGAAAGAACATCGGTCCAAACACTACCACCAGGGATAAGAACAACAAGCAAACTGTGAAAATGTTAGGTACGAGTCCTCTTGCTCTGTTTTTCCAAAAGGATGTGTGTGCTTGTGTGTGTGTGAGAGAGAAAAAAAGATGGGGAGCTCTCTGATAGTTTAATATAGTTCCATCCAGAGGAAAGAAAATGTTTCATACAAAAGGCTAAACCTCAGGCTATCTGTAGAATAATTCTCCCCCTCCCTTAGATTTATTTCTAACTGGTTTGAGCTGGGGACTCCCAAACAGTTAAACAAACATTAATAAGAATCCCTGACAAGGACAAATACTACAGTTAAAATTAGCTTGTGCCCTGGAGATTTTTGAGCGTTTTTGCTCTTTGGTTGTGGATACCAATGTTATTTACACAGAACAGTTTATTTGATTTTTAAACAAAACTAAACCCTTCTCAAGCCATGAAGTTGAGCTGCAGACTACAGCCAGGCAGGCAGGGCATGATGTGCACTCGAGATTCATAGGAAAACAGTATCAAGGTTTTAGCAAATCTGGGTTATTTCCTACCACGGCTGTATAAGCTTATGAAAATTAAACTGCATTTTCCATTAGCAAAACCCCAGGATATGCTGAACCAGAAGTGCTGTGTCTCCTTTGAGGTCTGTGATGCTGTAAAATCTCACAGACTGTAAGAAAACAGGATCAGTACAACAGACACTGTCATCCCTAACTTTGTATACTGACATTCTTTAAACAACACTTGTGGCTGGCACATGGAAACACAAGTTTCAACGTACTAAGTCAGTGCATGTAGTGGCAGTTTGATGCACAAACCCAAAAAGTTGTCTTGCAGTTTAGTGTCTGAAAACTGCAGAATCCTGCTGCTGCTGCTGCTGCGTACTTTTGTCCAAGCCAAAAGTCCTCTGCAGTGCAAGTCACCCCGTGGATTTTGGGGGGGACAAGATGCTCTGCAGGAAGGAGCTTTCACAAACCCATTTCAGCAGGGCTGAAGTGGTGGGCTAATGAGGCAGACAAGAGGTGGCAGTGAGACCTAAGTACCTTAATTATCAAATAGGAGCCCATCTGATCTTTTTGTTCATGTCCTAATTTATTACTATGCAACAGCAGGAAGAATAATAAAACCTGCAGCATTCTTTATGCCCTTTCAGCTACGTTTTATGATCAGTAGAATTACTTCAGTCTGGTAAGTGTGACCTTGGAAGTAATTAATTGTTTACACTTCTAGAGGTTCAGGATTATGAACTTCCACTGACTATAAGTAAATTACATATATTGCTACTGTGTTTATATTTCCATATACTTAAACATAAAGAATTATGAAATAAAAAATGCTTATTTCTGCTCTGAAGTGTTGCCACAAGCATTACAATATTTCAGTCACTTTTTTTTTTTCCCTTTTACAAGGTCTGAGAACAGCCAGGCAGTGGCAAGATTCTCCTCTGACAGAGAGCCAATATTCCCTAAATGATAACAGTCTGATGCCTGATAGAAAGATGGAAAGAAGTTAGTGAGGGCTCAGTGGCAGCAGATGCTCAATGCAGTCAACTCTCACTAGTGTTAATGTTCTGCTTAAAATTTAGAAGGTGCTTTTGAGGTTTTATCAAGTCATGGAACATCAAGTAAATGGGATTAACATCAGCAGTTCTTTTAACTGTAAAGACAGGTTATGCTTCTGGGTCTGAAATTGGCCACTAAATGTATAGCCTGACTTGCAAAGGAACTATCACACCCCACTCCTATTGAAATCCATGGGATTCTGCATGCATGAAGACCAAACTGTCAAAAGCCTGACCAGGGACAGTGCATGCCTCCATCTACTTAAAATTCTAGTCATAATAGACTGTGCTTTAAACTCTGTTCATTCATAATAACCATCATGGTAATATTCATTACATGGATTCAAATCCCCACGTGAGCTAGGGATTCATCTGAATTTTGTAGTGAAGATACTGTGGGAAAACTGGAAGTGGTTGTCTCAAGAAGATGCAGAGCTGGAAAACCTATTCTGAACTTCAAGCTCTTGTGCTTTCCCCTCCACCACAAGGCCTGCATAAGCATCCTTTTAAACTTGGGAATGCTGGTGAGGAATTTTTGGGGAAAGATAACTCTAGCCATTCCTCTCAGCAATTTGGATTTTATTATCTTCTGTGACATATGAGGACATGAGGATGGCTAGCACAAGCAGGTTGCTAACACAACCTGCCCACCAGGGCCAGGTTGGACTGGACTTTGAACAACCTGGTCTCGTGTAAGGTGTTCCTGCTCATAGCAGGGGACTTGGAAAAAGATTTTCTTAAAGTTCCTTTCCAACTCAAACAATTCTGTGATTCCATGAACAGGTTAACTGTAAAAATTGCTTAAGAATGTCAGAAACCCTTGCTCAAGTTTTCTGGTTTTTCTCTCTGTAGTATATTAATAGATACACTCAGAGCAATACAAAAAATAGTAAAGATCAAAGACACAGGAAATTAACAGCAACAGTTTCCTTTTCTCTCAGATGAAAATTCCAATGGACCAGTGCTCAGAGATCCACACATTCCCATTATCCTATAGACATATTTACATGTAAATGCAACCACTGTGGTAATACAATATTACAGATGTAACTATATAATGCTATATAACTATAATTATGCAGTTATATACTACACATTTAGTTTTACTCCTCTTGATGGACAAACTGAAGGGGTGCACCACTCTTCTTACCTTGGCATACGTGCTCCACAAGTCCCCATTCTGTGTTTTATTTGGGGCCTCTAACAATTTTGCTTTTTATCTTAAATAATTTTGCTTCTCAGTGATTACGTTCTTCATTATAAACCACAGTGTTGAGTCTAGCACATAGAATTTGCTTTTGCTAAACACTGCAGATGATAGATGGTTATACTTTTTTTGTCACCATTCGGATTCTTTAAGGCTCTGTTGATGCAAACATAAGTTTTCAGAAGTTTGCTACATCAGATTAGCTGGGCAATATTCAGGCAGCCTGTTTAGATACGATCCAAGTGTATTAGGTATCACCAATTTATACTCTCAGAGAATGTACTGAGACACAACTGAAAGCTGAGGGGAGGCATTTTCATGCTTTGTGATTAATTTGCTAAAGGGACAGAGCCGCAGAACAGAATGCTAATCACCTGTACGCCGGTACTCACACTTAACACGCTTTCTTCTGCTGTTTTTGTTTTAGTTGTGGTGGTATTTGCGTTCATACTCTGCTGGTTGCCTTTTCACGTAGGACGGTACTTATTTTCCAAATCCTTCGAAGCCGGATCCGTGGAGATAGCAGTGATCAGCCAGTACTGCAACCTGGTGTCCTTTGTCCTCTTCTACCTTAGCGCAGCCATCAACCCCATCCTCTACAACATCATGTCCCGGAAGTACCGCGCGGCCGCCTGCCGCCTGCTGGGACTCAGGGCCCTGCCCAAGAAGAGCCTCTCCAGCAGCAAGCAGGGGAGCTCCCGGGGCTGGACAGAGCCCAGTGTCACCACATGACAGCGGGCAGCGCCCGCCGAGGCTCCCAGAAAGCCGAAAAGGGAGGGGAAGGTGGCGCGGAGCGGGAACCCCAGCGCTGGACGCCGTGCTTCGGCCATGGCCCGGCCGGGCCGAGAGGTGCGGGGCAGGCGGGCAAAGATCTGAGGGGAAAAACCCAAAGTTTGGGGGCTCTGAGAGGAGAGACGCGCGGTCACAGAATTTGGCAACGCTCCAGGTGTTATTTTTGTGCTGCTTTTGCCCGTTTGATTTTTTTTAATGCTGACTTTAGCCCAGACCTAGGCTGTGCCATCCTGACCAGGCAAACGTGGCCCACGTCAATCCAGAGTTTGTACGACTTCAGCAGCACCAATCCGAGCTGAATTTTTCCAGAGTTAGCTTTAGTTTTGCTAAGAATTTTGCTAGCATCTAACCAGACCCTAGAGAGAGAATACTGAATTGCCTTTTTGGAGTAGTTAACAGGAAATTTGATACACTTTTCATAATACCAATTTTTAAGTAAGCTCATGTTTTTCTCTGAAAGAGGAAAATTATTTCTTAAAAAAAAAAAAGGATATATAAAATGGATAATTTTTAAACATGCTAAAAAGAAATAGTCTTCATCTCACATCCAAGTAGAAAGGAAACAAAAAAATTGCCTTGACAGAAGTGGCTTAGAATGTGACTGTATTGAAATATTTTTTTTTAAATATATGTCAGTGGGACAAGGACAGTGCTGACTTCAGGCCTGCAGTGATGCTGTAAAAATGTGGAATGCAATCACCCACCAAAGTCTCTCTTTTTTTTTTTTTTTTTTTTACTACCTAAATTATCTGTACTTGTTCTGTTCAGTATGACTGTCAATGACTTGATGTGTTTCAACTTGGAAGCTTTTAATTGTTTCAATATTTGTAACGAGTCTGTGGCTACCTGTCCCTAACTGCACCCCAAAGCTTGCTGAGGACAGGTATCCTGCCTGTAACCCCCCCATGTTTCTGCTTAAAGTCTGCTCCCAGTGCCATATCCCCCTGTAAAGCCTGGTGTGCACTTGTGCTCATTCACTGCAGTGTTGAATTGAGAACATTTTGCATTTTTTAACCACTGTGACCTGAGAAAGTAATAGAAAAATCTGCATTAAAGGGACACAGGCAGACACATTCTCATACTTGATTCATAAACCCTTCAAATTAGATTTTTATACCTCAAGTGTCCCACATCAAGGCAAACCAGAAAACATTCCACCCTCTGTGCTAATGAATATGACTTCTATTGTCTCACCCACACCTGGGGTTTGTGCCCCACAGAGCTGACAGAGCTTTGGAGCATGCATGTGTGACAGCAGCTTTCTGTTCACCTGGTTCTAGTGCTCATCCCCAGTTGGTGCACAGCCCTTTCTGCCTGATGAATTTTAATTCTCCCTAGTGAATTGTGTGTTAGCAGAGCTCTCCTGCCTTCACTCCCCTGCTCACACCGATGGGCCACGTTCAGCTGCTCAGGTTGAACTCACAAGAGAATCTGGCCTCTTCTGTATATTCAGTGTCTTTTCTATCACCTTTGCTGGGATCAGGGGCTGGTTGCTGCTCCTTGGTGGCACCTGAAGCTGTCCCCAGCCCAGGAGTGCAGGATTTCTGTGCAAACACCCACACTGAGGCACTGCAGGATCGCCTCCTGCTTCGCCTCTACCCACAGACCCCTCTCTGTCCACGCTGTTCTCTCACTCACTGACTGACAAGCAGGTCTGGTGGCAGAATTCATGCAACTCAGGGAAACAAGACATTTGGGAACCATGAAAGTGAGCTCAGTCACAACCTGTCTGTATAAATGAACCAACCACACACACCCGGCCTCACATCGGTGTTTCAAATCTCAGCTGTGTCTGTGCTGTTAAATGTGAACAGAAAAAGAAATAAAGTGATGAGACCCTTTATAACCCTGTGGCTCTGTGGTGGGAGAGGATCCAGTGTGATTCACACAGCTGGATTTGAATTTCTTTCTTTTTTCAATTTTTTTCTTTTTTTTTCCATATTTATATTTTAATTTTGTTCCCCAAATCAGTATAGCTAACTTGATTTGGCTATTTTGTTTAACCAGAGTAACTTCAACATTAAAGCCCTGTGTAGACGCATTAGTGCAAACTACAAACATACTAATAATTTCATTTAGCCTAAACATTTCATCAGGAAAAAAATGTAAATCTTAGCTCTACCAACACTGTAAAATTTCCACAACTTTGGGTACAGAATGGAATTTAAAACATTTGATCTGGGGTTATAAAAGTCAGAAAGAAAGGGACTGGCTGCTCCTTGGGAGGGAGGACAGGACTTCTTCCTTCTGACTGAGGAGCTGGACTTGTTTCTCCTTGGACAAACCTAGCAAAATACACAAATTATTATTAAAGAAATAATAATTTGATAATTTAATAATAAAGAAACACACAGTAGCTGTCCCTAATCCAGCCATTAGCATTGCTGCCCTCAATACCAAAACTTTTCAATGTGGATTCTCTAAAGCCAGTGGGGTCACGGCAGCATGTGCTGAGTGCAGATGGTGAATAGAAACTGCTGCTTCTAACTGGTACATAATGAACTGCTTTTATATGGAAAGCAGGGGAAAAAACCACCTCAAAACCTGGATAACTCTCACTTTTGCACCATAAAATCAACTTTTGTCTGAAGCCTCCAAAAGATACACGTGTCCCCACCTGCACTGATGGATGAATCCAGCATTGCTTGTCTTGAGCGTTATTCAGAGAATCACAGAACACAGAAGGGACCTTAAAGACCCTCTAGTCCCAGCCCCCTGCCTTGGACAGGATGCCACCCACCAGATCAGATTGCTCAGGGCCCCATCCAACCTGATCCTGCCCAAGTTGTAAGAAATGAATTCACTGGGGGGAAAAAAAGTGTGAGCAAGATTTGAAGAGCGCAAGAACGGTGAAGTCAGGCCAAGGTAGGATCATCAATCTGTCTCAGGGGCAAGGCTCCTCCTGCCTTGTCTCTGGCAGGATGAACAGGGGCAGAGTAGATGCTGCAGGTGCAGAGGGCAGCGGCAAACAGCCTGTGCTGGCACAGTGATGCTGGCACAGTGTCACAGCCTGCCCCACCCAGCAGAGCCACTCCTCATCCTCAGCCTGGACTGTCCTGCCAAACATTTCCCTGCACAGTCCTTTCTGCTCTGCTCCCCAGGGCATTTCTGCAGCACCTCATGTTCCTGGCAGCTTCTCCCCAAAGCCTTCCCTACATGAAAGGGCACAGCTGTGCCTCCCATCCTGTTTTGGGTCTGGACATGGTTTTTGAGATCCATTTTTCATGGGGGAAGACAGGAGTCCTTGCAGTGCAGGCACTGGGCTGTTCACTGGGGTGGCAGACAGGGCAGCTCTGCAGGAAAGAGTTTTTTCAGGCTGTTGAACCTTTCCATTTCTGGAGACTCTTCCCTGTGGGAACAAACCTTACCAGTTCTGACTGAAAAAAAAATAAATTTAAGAGTCAAAATTTTGCTGTGTTCTTCCTGACTTGAATGTGAACAGCCCATAGAGAAAATAATTGAAAGTTCATTCATCAAACAGTCCCAGTTTTAAAAGCTTTTCTACCTCTACATTTTGTATCACAGCTCCACAAATAAACAAGAACAATTTGGCTGCATTTTCTTTCTTGGCAATGGGTTAAATTGGTGATGAAATAGGTCAAAAGGACTTCACCAGAAAGCTTGATTCATTTTACAAAAGTACCTTTGATGGAGGCATGCACAGGCAGAAAATCATGTCCTATTGTATTTCTTGCCAAAAATAAAGTATACTGGAAAACCAGCACTTCCTTGTCACAACTGGAATCGATAGATATTCAGGAGTTATTTAAGTTTGTACCAAATGAAATTTGCATAAGCCCTATTAAAATCAGCAGTTTTTAGATACCTAAACACCTAGGAGAACCCCATCTCTGTCATGGATCTGCTGGTTTTAGGGTGCTGCTGCTCTGAGCCCAGTGGATGGTTCTGGATGGGCTTCCATAGAGTTTGTGTCTTTTGCAAAAATCCCATGGCCTTGAAGAGGTAAATTACATCTTGAGAAGTAAATTCAAAATTGGAACAAAAAAATCTAACTCATCTATCAGATGATGGGATGCCCTTGCTGTTACTTCCCCACATCTGGTACTGCCCTCCTCACCCCAAGCTGAAAGCACCACAACTACATTTTACCCTCACAACTCCCAATAAAAATCACCAGCCCTATTTTACAAAAATTAAATCAAAGCCCTTGGCATTTTAGCCCCTTGCTCAAACCCTACTGTCTCAGAGTGATGGGGTGTGGATCCGCTTGCACCCTCTGGATGTCATTCCTGGGGCTGGGGCTGGCAGTTTTCTGTTCCTGAGCTGTGCTGCCAGAGTGCTCAGCACAGCAGCCCATGAAGAACTTTATTTGGGAAACAAGCAAGCTCTGTCTGCCACTGCAGAGACACGGTGTGCTCTGTTATCACAGCCCTGGCTCTGCATCCCTGCTGTCCCTACACCTGCAGCAGGGTTTGTACCCACACAGGAATCCTTGCACACATGCAGGAGCTTCAGGGAAATGCTCAGGATGAGGCAGCAGGTGCAGGGCAGGAGCTGGATGTGCTGGGCCCCAGCAGTTTGCACTGTTTGACACCATTTGCAGGCAGGCAGCTGGAGATGCTGCACTGCCCAGCGTGATGCCAGCAGCACCTGCAGAGCTGGAGGCTCCTCTGGTGCTGATGGGAAACCTCTGCTCGCTTGGGCAAGTCCATCATCCACTGAGGGCATTCACACACCCCCCTTCAGCCATCTCCTCCCCCATCCCCACCTGATGGACCACCCAGAACCCTTCCCAGCTCCGCAGAAACTTCACGGGAGCAAAACAATTTCCTCACACAGATGTGCTTGCCACTGGC